TACGGTAGGATTTGCTTCCCATGGCGGAAGCCGAGCATCGGCATGTCGAGGTCGACGATGGGTGCGAAGGTGATGCCAGTGCTGAAGAGTCAGCTGGGGAGATGACATGGCCAAAACCCACTTTTGATGCCGAGACCACGACGGCGGTTGCTCAAAAAAATCTCCGTTTAGTCAAAAAGAAGCGAATGCATTACAACTCCTTCAGCCATGCGGGGGTCAACGGTTTGACACTTGCTACGGAGGATTCGGTCGCTACACCGGCAGTGCAACGCCTCCAAAACAGATCCAGGGCTCCTTATAGCAAAAACAGTCGGAAGTCTCGAAATGGCTTCAGACCAGAAGCGAAAAAGCGTAAGTTGTTCTGGCTTTATCTATGCGGCTATAGAATCTAACAAGGATGTTTGGATTCGTGTGAGTGATGAGCTCGATGAGTTGGAACTGGACCACGGCGATCCGGATTACGATTCTGATGAAAATGTAAGTACATTCTGCTGGTCTAGTTTTTTCTAGGTCCCGATCATTGTCGATCATGTCAATGCTGTTCTCACCGACGAGGATTTCGATGAATTCTTCTCTTCCCTCGTCCATGAGTACTACGACCACTGCAAAACGGAGGAAGTCATTGTAAGTCACACTGTTTCCTCTAGTATATCAAACATTTACCCACAATCTAGTGTCCACATATTAAAATTTTCTTCCTGTTTTAGGACGCTTTAAAAGAGCTTACATTGTCTCCCCTTCAACGTCGCCGTTTACCATTAATGGCAATAAATCTCGCTCTACAGCACAAAATGTCGCACTGCGAGCTAACTTCTGAGCTTTTGTCCGAAATGTGTGGGAAGGTTATCAGTATGTCGGCCATGCAGCAAGGTTTCCATCTACTTTTGGACGAATTGGCAGACATCGTTCTTGATGTACCGAAAGCACCAGAGGTATTACTTGCATTTTTTACTTCTATTTTTCTGAACTTGCTGCTTCCACTTTGCCATTGACTTTATACCACTTCGCATGTTTGACCTCAAAGCCCTAGCCCTCATGTTAACTAGGTTCTGTTACGCGAAATTCGCACTCGAATATTCGGACCCTTAGATTCCAAACATTTGCTTGACAGTATCGGAAAACCGCTTCGAATTTTTATCTTTACAGTCAATGTCTTTCTCCTTTTAGTACGTCGGCCGCTTCATCGCCCGTGGTGTTGCTGACGATATCCTTCCGCCCAAATTCGTCCAGCAGTATAAAGAACTCCACACCGCCCTTTTGCCACTTTCAGGTGGTGTGGCAGCAAACTCAGCGCCCAGTG